TGTTAAAAATCCTAATCTTTTAAATGTGAACTGATATAAGCATGAGTTAATGGAATTAATCATATCCTGTATTTATTAGTTTTCAATTATTTGTGACATTTTTTATGGATAAAACATCGATCCCATAAAGAATACTAGATCATTCATCAACTCACCCTCTGAAAAAGATTCTTCTAAGTCTGGTTAATTTTTTTCCTAAATTTTAAGTTATTATTCTCTTGCAATTTTCTTCTTGTTTAAAATTTATTGAACATACAATTAAATGGAGTAAAGATAATACTTTTAATGTCTATACCTAGAAAGCGTCTAGAATCTACTTTCTTCCAAAAACTACTTTAAATAAACTTTTCTAATATCTCTAATAATTGTTTTAAGTACTACATCCTTTCGCTTGATATTCAATATATACTATTCCTTAAGCATTTTAACTATTCTTAAAGTATTTCTAGAATCAAATATTTCATGGTACCTCATGTTTATATATTAAACTAATATCTATGGATCTATACATGCAATCTACTAATCTAATTATTTAATGATGCGCTTTTCCATTCTCTTTCTCTTAGGGAGTTTTCCACTCTGACTTGCTTCCTGTGTACTTAATCCTTTTACTTTTTATTGCTTCTCCTTAATCTTAGTCAGAATTTCATTTGGGGGTGAGTAAGACATGCAATCAACTTGAGTATGCTTATTGTCATCATCGTCGAGATCAGATTAATCCAAATCCTGATATGTAATCTTGTCAGCATTAAATGCTAACTGCTATAGTCCTTGATCACTTAAACCTTAATTGTTTGATAGATTTTATTGTGACATTTAATCATTAAATGCCGACATTAGATAGCAGGTATTGTGGTTGCCTGTAAAAATTTCAATATTTACTGGAAAGTAGTGAAATCTTTCTAGGTCTAAGATTGACTGCTAAAAGCCCTTGTGGGTATTATCTTATTCGAAATAATTTAGATTTTTTGGGCTTTCAAGTTATTATTCATTGTAGTTAATTGAGTCATAAGGCAAAAGGAAATCATCAATTAGGAATTCTTAGGTCTAGGTTTTATCATCAGTGTTCATTATTAGTTTTTCCTTAAAGGTTTTTGTATTAATTAATGTACAATACTTCTAATATTTTGATTCAATTCAAATTAATCACTGAAACCTACTAAAAAATGAAATAACTTTTGCTTTGTGGGGTTTTGGGGTTTTGGGG